TATATATTTTATGATTACAACACTGTTTCATAACTATATGAATATGCAATAGTCTTTATGGGCAAAGTTCAAGTAGAAAACACATCTATTCTTACTAAATGGGGGAAAAGTTTCTTCTATACCCTAAAACTGTGTTCTGAATTATTTCAGAGGTAATAATCCATAATTTTCCAAAGATCTTAAACAGCAATAGAAAAATGACAATTAAAAATTTTATCATCATTTATCTCTGTCCTTTTTTGAAAAACTGCCAAATAATTTAAATTACTGAAAGTAAAATTCTATTTATTAACATGTATTAAGTATTCCAGAAATACTTTCATTTGAAATTTAAATCTTGCTATTCAATAACAAATTCATTTCAGTTCTACCACTGGAGCCAAGAACTTAATTATAATTTCTGATCAATATTTATTCACTTTGGAAATAAACTATTATAATATTGCCAAAGATAAACTCCAAAAATACAATCATCAACTCAGAGACATCTTTACAGATTCAAAAAAATTTTTTAGATAGCAGATATATATGCAAAATTAATACATTGATAAAATTTATATTGATATGATTAATTGAATGTTTACACATCAAACAAAATACACTGCTGATAATGCCATTTCCAGAGATAGTGTTTCCTACTGTAAAAATAAGAAAACTTAAAACAATGTTTGAAACTTTAGAAAATCACCTACATATCATCATTATAATAGATTCATTATAATGGAAAATTTTCTGGAGTTTGAGTTACAGAACATGTTTTAGAGCATTTTCCTCAAATGTTAACCTAATCTTTGCTTAAATATTTCAAGATTGTCAACTGAAAGAATATTGGCTCAAAATTAGAAGGCAGAAATGTGAGTCTGGACTCAGTGGTGGAATTCTCAGAAAATTAAGCTTATAAAGATACATTTCATTACATATGTAGTTAGGATATTAATATATCAAATCATAAGTCTATTGCAAGGAGTCAATGAAAGATTTATAAAACTCTTTAAGACACTATGCAAATATGTGATATTGAACATTAATATCAGTACAGAGTTTGGCAAGTGGGTGACAATCAAGAGATGCACTGAATAAATGAATGAATATATAAACTAATGAAAGTATTCTATCAGTAAATAATTTCATAAAAAGAAATCTGCAAGCCTGCTTCTGTTATATACCCAAAAGATTTGAAAGCAGGAATTCGGGTAGGTACATTTATAGCAGTACTCACAGTAACATTATTCATAATAACTAAAAGTTGGAAAGAACCCAAATTCCCATCAACAGATGGGCATATCCATACAATGGAATATTATTGAGCCTTTAAAAATGAATCAAATTCTGATACATGCTACAACATGGATGAAACTTGAAAAATCATGCTAAGTGAAATAAGCCAGATGCAAAAGTCTAAATATTGACTTACTGTATTTGAGATACCTAGAATAGGCTAATTTATAGAGACATAAAATAGATTAGATTACCAGTGCCTGAGAAGAGGGAAACATGGGAAGTTATTATTTAATGGGTATAGAGTTTCTATAGGGGATGATGAAAAAGTTCTAGAAATGGAAAACTACTTATGATTGTACAACATTGTGCATATGTATGTGCATATGTACATAATGCCACTGAATTGTACACTTAAAATGATTAAAATGGTAAATTTTATGTTATATATATTTTACTACAATAAAAACAAAGAAATTTTATTCATATATTGGAGAATGATGGTTATTAGCTATTTTTTTTTGATCAAAAAAAAAAAAACCCCAAAACAACATACCAGCCTCTACTCCAACATGCGGAGTCTAATGGTAACCAGCACTCAAACTTCCACATCAAGGGCACAGAGAGGAGAAAAACTGCCCTAACATGTCCTGGTTGGCAAAGGCATGCCCTATCCAACAGGACCTGAGGGCCTGATGCTTAGAGAGAAGATGGTGGGAGAAAGTGCACTTGTGTAAGCCACTGGGACTCAGCATCCAGGTACCCTGGGATGGGTCCCTGAGTTGGGACTTGGAGGATAGACTGGGATCCCAGTGATTACTTCTGGGGGACTCATAGTGATACCAAGGTCCACCCTACTCCAAAACATATTCTTTGTTCCACTAAAGCCAGATGTCATGGAACTCCTTACCCTTGATTCTGGGCAGGACCAGGAAGCCTGCTGATGAGAGACAGCAGGTAGGCCTGACTCCTGCAGATGTCTTGAGCCTCTTCCCAGCAGAGAGCCACAGGGGTCTGACTCAAACAAATGACCCCACCCCCACTGAGGAACCTCAAGTACAATGTGAGGAACTCCCAGCTCCAGGAGGATGGCCTGCTGGACTGGGGCTTCTCCTGAACACACAGACCTAGAAGTCAGGGAGGTGTGAGGGCACAAGGTGCACAGGGATGGAAGAGTACTTGGTTGGGTGATCTGAAGCAGAAGCTCCCAATGAAAGGGGGCAGGGTTACAGATAGTTTGAGCCACAGAGGGCTCTTGCTGGGACACATGGGTTAAATTTTAGAAGGAAAAGAAAAGAATATATACATACTGAAAAAGACACTCAAAAGTGTTTATAAAGATTTCTATCTCTGAGAAGGTAAAGTAGAAATCCTTTTCATAGTTTTCTTGGTAAGCATAATTTAAAAACATAGATATTATAAATAAGGCAAACATAAAAAGACTGAAAGGCAGAGAGAAGGCAAATTTGCTAAGAATCTCAAGACTCAAGAAATAACACAACAGTCTCTGGGTTTTCTGTTTGGTCAGTTATTCCAGATGTGAAGCTGAACAGCCAAAAACCAGGAAATGTCAATGAATGCAGACAATAAAAAGTCACAATGAACAAGGGAATGGGAAAGTCTAACAAGACAGAAAACTTTTGGAAAAGAACCACTCTACTCCAGCCAAACACCACAGAAAATATGTGGCCCCATCCCCACCCATGCCAGTAAAAGCCAAGCGAGGAGCTAGATCTCCAACCTCGTGAAGCCAAATGAGGAACCCAATACCCCCATAGCAGTATTGTTACAGGAGCTAGGACGTTCCTACCCAAACAATAAAAATAATGAAACCACCCCAAGGTGACAGTATAGACCACCTAAGAAGCCTAGACCTCTAATCCAAAGTAGCAATAAAGAGCTGTCCCTTTTGCCCCTGGTTGGGGTGGCATCAGGGGAGGCTTAGTGGACAGTCATAGTTTTACCATCCTGAGGCAGGAATGAAGCCACTCCCTCTACCTGGTGTCAGTGTAGGCCTGTGGGAAGCAATAATGAAGCATTTATAATCCTCCCAGCAAGGAACAGTGGAGGCCTAGTGGAAAACCAGAGTTCCCAACTCTGCCTAAAAATAACAAGGAGTCCCACTAGCACATGGATATCCATGGAGGCAAACTGGGGAACCTGGGCTTCTACACCCACCTGACAGTAGAAAGACAGCCCCTTCCCTAACAAAGAAGAAGTCAGCTAAAACAGATTTAAATAAGACTCAGAGTCTCAACATAATACCCAAAAAGGTCCAGGTTTTAACCAAAAACCACTCACCATAATGAGAACCAGAGAGATACCAAATGTAATGAAAAAAGATAATAAATAAATGCTGTTATGGGTTAAAGTGTGCCCCACTCCCAACTCCATTCATAAGTTGAAATATCAACTTTCAGTACCTCAGAATATTTGAAGATAAGGCCTTTCTAAAGAACTAATTAAGGTAAAATAAAGTCATTAGGGTGGGCCCTAATCCAACACAACTGTCATCCTTATAGGAAAAGGCGATTATTATATATTATATATATCTATGGACAGAGAGATGATGGCCATCTACATGCCAAGGAGAGGGAATTCTAAAAAAAAAAAAAAACGCAACTCTGTCACCCTTTTGATCTTCGACTTTGGGCCTCTAGAACTCTGGGAAAACACATTTCTACTGTTTAAGCCACCCGGTCTATAATTTTGTGTTATGGCAGCCTTAGCTGCCTAATACAGATACCTACAACAATACAACAGTGAGGTCAGAATTCCGTGATAGAGATTTTAAGAGTCATAAAAATGTTTCAATAAGCAATTACAAACTGGAAACAAAAAAATAAAATCTCAACTAACAAACAGAAAATATAAAAAGAACCCAAGTAAAAACTTTAGCATATAAAAATACTTATATGACTAAAATTGAAAAAAACAACAACTATTCTCCCTTTTGAGAGACAGTTCTTGGCCTGTTGCTGGGCCTTAACAGAGACTGTTGCTTACCCCTGGGCCGCCAAGTTACCCTATGATCTGAGCTGTCCATCATGAGCTGTGTGTGTTCTGACCCACAAAGCCCTAAAGTTTGATACGCAGAGCAAACATTCCATCTTCAAATGGAGGTGGTATATACATGATCAGCCCCAAGCAGTCCCTAAAGCCAAAAACAAATGACATAAAGAAGTGGCCAAATGCCCATGGTCCTACTCATGCTACACCACCCTCTCTCTCCCAGCCTGCAGCTATAGTCTCATGGGGAGTTCTCCTAAGATCAACTGACAGAGAAAGAGAAAACTCAGGCCACGGTTATCCACCCAAAAGTGCAAAGCTGCCACACTCTCTACCACTACCCACGTTGCTTATTTCCCTTCTCTTTCCCCTTTTATTCTTCATTAGGTATAGTATTCCCACATTCATATCCCTGATAAAATTACTCTGTCGATTTTTCCAATCATAAAACTATACAAGGTTGATGCACAGACTAGTGATACTGTGTATTGCTCACACATATAGGTGATAATAAATAACAGATCTGTGATGTGATCTCAATATCAGAGTGAAGGAGCAGGAAGGAATCACAGGAAGACACAATACCAGTATAATCCAGTAACTCAAAGATGACCGATAGGCATCTAATATGGAGGCCATCAAATACCACACATCAGGAACTTCACAGAACATGGTTTGAGGAGGTCATTAAGGAAGCTGAAGATGTAAGTGAAGTCAAGCCTTGTATATTTTACTTCAACCAAACAACAATGAGGAGTCACTGAAGGACCCACAGAAGAATGGCATGATCGGGAATTTGTGTTTTAAAAAGATGACTGGTCGTCCTTCAGAGTCAGAAGAGGAGCAGCTTAAACAAAAAAAATGAGGTTTTCTCATAGAGTGATGGGTAACATGGACTAAATGTAAGTCAGCACAGTGGGCATAGATAGGGAAGATACAAACAGTACTAAAGCAAAATAGAACTTGACAACTAACTAGATTTAGTAGGAGAGGAATTGGGAGAAGGCCAGTATGATGCATGGGTGTTTAGTTTAGATTACTGTATGAGTCTGTCATCATTTCCCAAAATAAGAAGCATGTTTGAACAGGAAATAGGTAGCAAGTTTGAAGAGCAAAAGATAATTTAGTCAAACTTAAATCATGCTGAGTCTGACGCTCCAATGGGACATGTCAAGTGTGTACATGCATATGTATTTGAAAACATAAGACAATTTAGGCTCAGAATAAAGACTTGTGAGCCAGCAGCATCTAGATAATAACTGATACAATGGAAGCGGATGTTTTCAACCATAGTATGATAAAGAACAGAGCCTGGGATGGCCAGTCTACACCAGAAGATCTGTGCAATAAACCCATACGTCAATCATAAGAAATAGTAATTCTTAAGTCACTAAGTTCTCAGGTAATTTGGTACACAGCAAAAGCTAACTAATACAGTGAACAAGAAACTCCATGGAAATTTCATTTATTTTGTTAGATTATCATTAATGCTCAGGGAATATTCACAGGGGCCAGAAGTGGTGAGTTGTGTCCTTCAAGTTCACAGTATTAAACTCTAGGTGCAGTCTGAGACAAAGCAGACAGAAGAGTGAAGGGAAGACGAGGAACACGAGAGATGTCACTAACACCAAAGATATTGTCAAGAGCATGAATGGTCAACAAAAGGAAACTATCAGATATAATTAAACACAGTATATAATGGAAAATTTGCAATATAACAATATGAGTGGCCTTTGTCAGAGAACTTCAAGTAGTGTGGTAGGAACAGAGGCTGGTTTGGAGTGAGTAGAAGTAAGTAAGAGGTAACCCCAAGTGAGACAGAGAGGCATACAAACTTCCCCTCTCCCATTATTTGGCCTTTGTCGAACTTGCCAAGTTTATCTCTTATCATACTCTATTTGGGCTCTACAATCTAATCATTAAAAGATAGTTGCCATTTCCCAAACATACCAAACTATGCCTTGTCTTTTCTCATAAATCCTCCTTTCAAGATTAAGCTAAAGGACTATTCCTTTCATCAAGTTTAACCTTCTTCCAGCCCCATGTGTCCAAGTGGATATGACCTCTTCTCCCTTTGTGAACATAGTACCCATTGCATAACTCTATTCTGGTGACTAAACCAGGACATGCCTGGTTGTGATTGCAACTTGGGCCTCACTCTAGGAAGCTCAATGTCAATGTGATAGATTGAAGAAATTGCCGTAAGTTTTTCCCCATCCCTGGATTCAACCCTTTTGCCAGATGATTCTGTTCTTTGCCCATCAAGAGGTGGAATCCAGTGCTTGAATCAGGTCCCGACCACGTGATTGGACTTGGGAAATGAGACACTAGCAAATATGACATAAGAGAGGCATGAAAAGCTCATCTCTGATGGCACTTAAGGTAAGATCACCATAAACAAGCACAGTCTAGTTGGCTAGAGAAACAGAAACCACATGGAGGAAAAAGCCATCTCAGTTGACACTGTGCAGTTGCCAGATATGTAAGTAAAACCATTATAAAATAAAGCTTCCAGCCTCAGCTGACCCAGTCTACACCAGAAGATCTGTGCAATAAACCCATACGTCAATCATAAGAAATAGTAATTCTTAAGTCACTAAGTTCTCAGGTAATTTGGTACACAGCAAAAGCTAACTAATACAGTGAACAAGAAACTCCATGGAAATTTCATTTATTTTGTTAGATTATCATTAATGCTCAGGGAATATTCACAGGGGCCAGAAGTGGTGAGTTGTGTCCTTCAAGTTCACAGTATTAAAGGTGAAATTCTTCAATAGCACTCGCTTACCCAAGAACTCAACATTTATAAATTGCCCAATACTGGAGATCCCTGGGTGGCTCAGCGGTTTAGTGCCTGCCTTTGGCCCAGGGCATGATCCTGGAGTCCCAGGATCAAGTCTCGCATCAGGCTCCCTGCACAGAGCCTGCTTCTCCCTCTGCCTGTCTGTCTGTGTCTCCGCCTCTCTCTCTGTGTGTGTGTGTCTCTCATGAATAAATAAAAAAATATTTTTTAAAAATTGCCCAATACTTTCACAAGAATATCTTTTTATCTATAGGTCACAAAAATTTGGTAGACTCCAAATAAATTCCAAATAAATAGACCTTTTTATCTATAGGTCTATTATTTGGTAGACTCCAAATAAATTCAGAGACTAGAGAGAGATGAGAAAGACCAATGCTGAATATACAATTGCAAATGACATAATCAGCCAAAGATCTAAGAAGCTGAGTGTGTGCAGAGGGGGTAGCATTCAGAAATAGGAGTTCATGAGGACAATGATGCCAAGAGCTGGGATAGAAGCAGAAAGAAGCTATAAATCAGAGAAGAGACTCTGGGAACCAAACCCAGAAACAAAATTATGGATTTGAACGTGGAATACATTTCCTGTAAAAATACTACTAAATGATGCTCAGTGTATCTCAAACATGAGCAGATAGGCAACAGTTCTTACCTTACAGATAGTTTTTTTAAAATTGTTAAATGCTCATCAGTAATGAGATCATTACTACCTATAGATGCCAAGATGTTTCTGAATAAATAAAAATTCATTTTGGAGTTTATCACTAGATTAATTCTAACTTGGTTAAGAATAATGAATACCAGGGGAAATGTTCATAACAGTTGCTGGTCTGCTAACCCAAAGAAAAGGAAGGTTTTTCTCTCAGTTTATCAATGCATCTTAGGTCCAAAATTCAGCTAACCCTAAATGAACTGGTCTCCAAAGATATATTCAAACAGTGATACTTTTTCTCATGAATCTAAAAGCAAAATTCATCCTGAGATATTCAATTTTTTTTTTTGCCCAAGGGAATCAATGATACAATTTGGATCAAAACACATTAGAATTTCAGAAAAGTTCAGAAATACTTTTGTTTTAGAGAACAATATGTGCCCTCTTTTGTGTTTGGCAGGGCAAAGTTGCAATTCTGGTTTAATACAAAGTAGTTGCCTTCAGCCCAGGGCATGATCCTGGAGACCAGAGATCGAGTCCCACATCAGGCTCCTGGCATGGAGCCTGCTTCTCCCTCTGTCTGTGTCTCTGCCTCTCTCTCCCTCTCTCTCTCTCTCTTTCTCTCTCTCTCTCTCTCTCTGTGTGTGTGTCTTTCATGAATAAATAAATAAATAAAATCTTTAAAAAAATTAGCCTCCTGAATATACATGTACTAGAACTACTTCATGTAATATAAACACCTGAAATCCTTGGAAAAGGCACAATATAAATAACTGATTGATATACATTGCTGAAAAAGCTAATGCATTTAATGGTGTATCTCCCTTTCTAAAAAATAATGAACTTAGCATAATTAAAAGTATTAGTCAAATATCAAGCATTTATTGATCACCTTATTTTCTCCTATTTAGTCAACAAATATTTAATGAGCATTTACTCCCTATGTTCTAGATGATGATATATATGATAAATAAGAGGACTATGGCCACTTGCCTTCATAAAATCCAGTGGGAAGTCAGAAAATAGGTTTAAAAAAATAGGGGGAGAAACATTAACTGTTGTGGTAGACATGATAAATGAAATAAACAGGGTGCCCTGATAGGGAAAAAAGGAGAGGGTTGATTGACCTAGAGTGAGTCCTAGGGAAATAACATTAAACAAGACAGAAGATCACAAGGAAAAACCAACAAGCAGCACGTGTGACAGCCCATGGCATAGGAGCTAAGTGCTTATTGTGTTTGGAAAAATAAAGAACAACGGATCAAATATAAAAAGCAAAAGAAAGAAATACATGAGATGGATTTACACGTATGTATGGATCAAAAACCATGATAAGGGGGCAGCCTGGGTGGCTCAGCAGTTTAGCGCCACCTTCAGCCCAGAGTGTGATCCTGGAGACCCGGGATCAAGTCCCACGTTGGGCTCCCTACATGGAGCCTGCTTCTCCCTCTGCCTGTGTCTCTGCCTCTCTCTCTCTCTCTCCCTCTCTCTCTCTCTCTCTCTCTCTCTCTCTCTGTGTCTCTCATGAATAAATAAAATCTTTAAAAATGCTAGGACTTACAGGCCAAAATAAGGGGTGTTGCTTTTATTAAAATGAAATGTGAAGCAGGGAAATAATGACTGCTTACACTAGAGTAGACAAAGGAGAGATGGAGAAAATGACCAAATTAGAAATGTTTTTAGGATTGAAATGAACAGAGTGTGCCGAAGTAGCATACGAGAAAGGAAGAACCTAAGCATGATGCCAAGCAGCTCAAGAATAAGGGTGCTATTTACCGAAAAGAAAACAGATGTGTGCTGGAAGAGCACACAAGTTTGGGGAAGCATAGAACTCTGTCTGGAACTTTGTATGAATTGGACAGAAATACAAGCAAGACCCCGATTCTCAAGTATGTGGCCATTGAGAACTCAACACACATACACATAGGGAAAGAAGTGGAAATAAACACTAAGTACAATTAAATGTTAAATTAAATTAAATCCTATGAGTGATCCATCCAAAGATTCAGAACACTGGGTGGAAAATAAAAACTAGAGTTGTGCAGGAGAGGGAATGCGTAAGGAAAGTATGAGTATGAAAGTGGTCAAGGAAGGCTCCCAGGACAGTGAAAGGAGGCTGGAGTATTAGTGGCACAGACTGGGACAGGAACGGGGATTTTCTATGAGAAGAGCAGAATTCCCTCTCATCTGTCATAGTCATTAAATAAATCTACACCAAAAATCCCTCTCCAGCTCTGCAGACCCCTGTCCAGGCTGTTGTCATGTGTGGCAGTTCAGGAGACCTAGGCATAGCTTCCTACTATTTGAATCTTTGCCTCAAGCACACCTGTCCATTCTCCCAGAATGGCCTCTCCCCAACCACA